ATAAAATTATTTAATAACAATAATAAAATACTGAGAGGAGGCTATATAGTAATGTAAATGTTGTGGCAGAGTTTGCTGTGGAATCGGAAAAGTAGAACCAGTCAGTCATCAAATAAATTTTTTAAGGATGGAAATGATACTGGTGCGATGACAATTGACCTTATTTATGAAAGTTACAGGATTTCAAGAAGTGCTTCGCTATACCACGCAGCAGGGCATGAAAATGAAAGGCAGGGAGGTGATCTGTCGTGGGCTGACCAGCATGATAGCCATGACAGTGGATATCTGCTGGATAAGCATGCACACCATCAAAAGGATGAGGCAGGTTTTGGTCATGCGTCCAAACACGGGTCCGAGCAACATGCACTGAAATCTGCAGCTGGTGCTGGTAAGCATGCTGCTGCTGCCGCAGAAAAAGCTACTCACAAGCATGCCGATAAAGCCAGCGCCCTCGGAAAAGGTCTTGCTTTTGATCAAATCCGTACACATAAAAAGGCATCCCGCTTTTCCTAATTTTCTGCTCATTTTCAGATGTAAAAGCGAAAACTTTCGGTTTCTTCGACTATCTGTACAAGCAACCTGAATATCACGTTGAACAATTCTACAGCGACGAAAAGCATGGTCGTAAATTTGGAGCTGATCAAATGCGTCACGCTTTAAATGACCACGAATCAGGCAAGACGCCGGTTTCTGTTATAGACAGTTCATGCTTGCAAACTGACTACTGATAATTTTGTTTGCAGACGCCCATGAAGTATCTGGTTGGGGTAAGCATGGAAAGGGTTACTACAACGATGCGCACGGCTCCGATGCTCACGAACACGGCTCAACCCATCGCAATGGCTGGGGCAATAACTTCCACAACAGCCACGGACTAAGCGGCGACAAGCACTTTTCAAAAGGTTTAGAAGCGTTATGTCTTATTTCTGGTGTCAGACGAGGTCTTTCGAGGTTCAGGAGCCACTCAAGTTTTCAGTAATTTATGAAACGTCGACATCTAACTCTATAAATCCTTTCAGCAAAAGCAACGTATTCGTTATTGCAGGCCACGAAGCGCATAAAGGAAAGCACCAACATGAGTACATGCCAGGCCATTACGATTACTACGGATTGCACGATGACTGGACATTCGCACCCCACCGGCACTATCCACATGAACACACCTTGAAGGCGTATCCAACGGAACACGACTCCTGGGGCAGATGGGGCCACGAATGGAACTGAGTGATCTATTTAGCCGTCTTTTTGCTGTTTAGCTATTTTTTGTGCATTTTTAAAATTGGCTGTTGTTTTATAACTAATAAAATTAACTTTTGAAACCACTAAGCTAAAACCGGCACTCACACCTTAACCAGTTTTTACATGCTTTTGCTAATGGCGCTTGAATGAACATCGTAGTGGAAGTTATGAAACATACAGCCTTCACTGTTTGAAACAGAAATACTCTTCATGATCAGTGTGACACGTTAAGACAAGTTTGTTTTCTAGACAAGATGCTGGTAATACAAAAAACCATTGACTGTTCCGTACTAAAAATCAACATTTCACGTGTTATATGCTTCGTCAGCTAAACTGCTGGACACCATCAAAATT